AGCGCCTCTCTGCGACTGAACGACTGAACTCGTGCAATGAGTGCGCGAGCATAAAAATGAGAATAAGAATGAGAGAGTAAAAAACCCGAACGCACACGAAGTGCATGGACCTGCTGCTGTGAGAGCGGTGGACCTTCCGCGGTCCGTTTTTTTGTGTCCAAATGCGTCGTATGAAATGACCAGTCTATATGTTGTATGGTTAGTGGTATTAGTCATTAGTTTAAATATAAATAAGCAAACCCATCTGATCGAATGCCCAAACTTGTAGAGCACTGTGAGCGGCGGCTTCTGGACGGACGAGGATCTCATCGAGCTGATTCGCCTGGTGAAAAAGTATCCGGGCGGAGCCGGCAGTCGCTGGAATACCATCGCCGAGTCGATGAACCGCAGCGTCCAGGAGGTGACATTCATGGCGGCCAAGATGAAGGAGAATGGCTACCGCATTCCCGGTCAAACGGACAGTGTGGCCGAGAATCTCGTCCAGGAGTCGCAGCAGGCGCAGCGCAAGGAGAAGGTGAAGAAGGCGTCGACTGCTGCGCCCGCCACTGCAGCGGCTCCGGCGGAGAAGAGCATGCTCATTCCGGAGACCAACTGGACGCAGGAGCAGCAACGTGCGCTAGAGGCGGCGATAGTCAAGTACCGGAAGACGGCCGGCGGCGATCGTTGGCAGAAGATCGCCAATAGTGTGCCGGAGAAGACCAAGGAGGAGTGCCTGGTGCGCTACAAGTATCTCTGCGAGCTGGTCAAGACGCAGAAGCGGGCCGAGGAGGAGGCCAACGAGCCGGACGAGGATGCGGCTGTCATAGAGGAGGAGCTGCCCGAGGAGGAGCCGGCAGAACCGGAAGCGGTAGCGCAACCGGAAGCACCAGCCGCCAAGAAGCTGAGCAAGCGGGAGCAGCGGCGACGCAAGCGAGATCTGTCCAGCGGCGAGGACTCGGACGATGCATATCAGTACGAGATAAGTTAGTCGGCTCAACGACTAACCCCCCGTCCTCTTCGCGTGGCTCAAACCTAGATGTAACTGAATTTTTTTATACTTTGCTCTAAAGACTCTCTGGCAAGGCATTTGGACCATCCTGATCCAACTCCGCGGCCCGATCCTGTGTCCCCTTCCCTTAGCTTTCCCTCCCATCCTCGTGTGTAGCGCTTATCTTATGTTTTGTACATAATTCTATCTTGTAATCATCTTAATGTCGATTAATTCCGTTGCTAAGTAAACGAAATGTGGATGGAAGTGGATATCAATTGATTTTTTGAAAGGCCTTATTGCAGGGGATCGTTATGGTAAGCTGGAATGGCTGTGATTCTCCGGAGATATGTTGAGAAATTTAGGTTTGAACTCTTCTTTTAAATTAAATTTATGAGCTGGCTTCTATATATTCCGTATATTTGGTAAATCCTTCAAAACCACCGTTAGAGAATTATCAACAAAACTTAAATACTTTCTGGATTAATAAATATGTATTACATATTTATTTATTATTTCTTTGTAATAAAATATATTTCTGCTTTTTTCTTTTCTGTTTTTTGTTTGTCAATATCTAATGTTTTTTAAAAAAATTCCTATATTAGTTTTAATTATTTAAAATTTTGAAATGTTTAGGTAAAAGTGGAAATTTAGATCCAAAGGAATATACAAAAATATAAAAAATATTTAGAATTAAATGTTGCTTCATTTAACTTTTATAATTCATGTCTTTTTATTTATTTGCTTTTTAAAAACATTCTTTTATTAGTTTTGTTAATCTAAAATGTTGAATTTTAGTTAATTTTAAGTTAAGAGAAGTAAAATTTAGGGCCAAAAGAATGTACTTAAATATAGAAATATTTAAAAACAAATAATAGCACCTTTTGAATATTGTTCATAAGTAAAAAAATGGTAAATAAAATTTAGCAAGCCGACGGTTCTGGCAGCCATTTATTCATTTATTTTTAGTAAACATATGTGAACTTCTTACCTTTTTTCTTTTTTAGTTTATTATAATTCAATAACGTTTTTTAAAGTTAAACGAGATTACCAATGTTAAAAAATATATATTATATATATATATATATATATATAGCAATGGTGTTTTAAGTACTTTAAATACCAGAAATAGCAACAAGTCCATATCCGATTTTATTTGTAATTATAACACTGTTTTGCAGATTGGATCACTAAGATAAGATGAACATGCTGCCCGGGATTGCATTTATAGCAATAAGGATTATCAGTCCTGAATAAATTAATAAAATGGCTGTTTCACTTGATACATAAAGCCCATTTCAATAAAAAAATTTAAGCACTAATGGAAGCCTATGGACAGCAGTAAAAAAAACAAGCAACTGCCATTCCGTCATTGAAATCCATCAGAATATTTATATGCAGAGAAGCTTTTAGAACTTAAAACTTTTTGTATTTGATTTGTTTGTAATTTTAAGTACCTTTTCTATAACTTATAATCATAGCTTACCAGCAATAATAAGAAATGTTGTAATTGCTGTAATATCTTTATTTAAAAAACAGATGAAGACAAAAAACATAAAGTTGCTTATTTATACACTGTTTTAGCCATAGGTTTCAAACAAATATTTTAATTGGAAATGGTTTTGAAATTAATTGGATTGAATATAAATATTTGAGTGTTAATTAAAGTATCACCAAGCCCAACTATTAATTCCTTTCTAATCCTTCGTTGACGAACATATATATCTTGAAAGTCAATTGCAGCTTTAAAGTCATCAAAGTCCAGCGCTAAGCAATCATAATTCTCGGTTGGCTTGAACCTGTCAGTCATCAAAGAGGTGGTTTTCTTAGGGGGGCGAAGTGGTAAAAGCCTCAGATTTATTATTTATAAAACTTGAGTTAGGCACTTTTGGCGGCTGCCATTTTCAGACGACCGAAACTGCGGCGATGGCAAATGTTTAATCAAAGATACAGTTTATTATTTATATGGCTGGCAAGCGCGTAATCCGCTGTGTGTGCGGACAGCCTTGGAACGATTGGCTCTTAATTACGCCCAGCTTACATTTGATAATTATTGGACTATGACTGTGACTCTGAATGCCGGCAAGTCGGTCCGGTCGAGTTAGTACAAACTGGCTGCCCGACTCCTCCTCCCAATTTGGTCACCATTCGTGTTCGCATTGAACTTAAAACGCTCGTGCACTAGAAACATCAGACGACTTGGTCGACTGACTGCGTCGTCATCAAGACTCAAGACTCAAGACTAGAGACTCCGAATCTCTAGACTCAAAACTAAAGACTCGAAAATCGAGACTCAAGTGTAGGCGCAGCAGAATCTGGCAAACTGTCAACGCAAAGCTCGGGGCACTTCGCACTTGAAAAACGTTTCAAATCGAATTACAAACAAAATACCCTTCATTCCAGTGACTCAAATGTGGAGTGATCAGGTCTCTCAGGTCTCTCACTCGTTTTGGATATCCCTGAAAAATGTATAGATATTCCTTACACCCAGAGAACAATCATGGTAAATCCAAATATTTTCCGTACTGATTTAGCCACGAGGGGTGTTGTGTTTAAATCAAGGTGGGTTACACTTTCAATTTTATTTTTAATTATGGAAAATGTAGTTTTAAATTAAAAAAAAATGAAATTTACAATTTTCCTGTTGGATAAACCAAATAAATATGTTAATATGTACATTATCATGTTTTTAGTTTATTTTAAGTAATTAAATGTCAAAATATTTAAATGTAACATTGTTTTTAAAAATGTAATTTAACAACAATGCTACACTCCAATATTTTAATATTTAATTTTACTATATGGTTTTTCATTTTTTTCAAAAAATAAGCAACATTTTTTATATTAAAAAGCTTTTTTTTAATTTATCAGGAAATATCTAAGCCATTAAAAATATAGTACATTTTAATTTCCAATGTCAATAAATATTACAAACCCTGGAAAATATTCATCAGAATTGCATTTTCTTTCTTAATTTATTTTAATAAGTATCATAGTGGAGGTTTTATGCTAATTTTTACTTACATACATACCTACTCACTTACTTACTTACTTACTTATTTACTTACTTGCTTACTTTTTTACTTACTTTCTTACTTATTTATGTTATTTAAAATTCAACCATATACCACTGTTTATTGAATATACAAACTAAAATATGTCACGATAGTTGATTTATTTACTGAGGCTTTGACAAAATTAAAAGATTTATTAAATTGCTAAATTTAAGTTATTAAATATATAGTTCTTATATATATAATGTATGAAACAAAAAATAGGAAACACAAAGTTTTGATCGTAAGTCATTAAAAATAACTTTTTAACGATATCCAAAGACTGAGAGGGTCTACTTTTTGAGTGAACCTTTAATTAGCCCTTCTGATCTAACGCTAATGGGAATTCGTTTGGGCCCAGTTGATTCTTGATGACGTTTGCTTTGATAGGCGATATAAAACATTGGTTTTTATGGCATTACCAGATGGACAGGTCTCCTCGTGGCAATTTAAACTGACTAACAAATACGCTCGCCAAAGTGCAGCGAGAAAAAAACAACAAAAGTGAAAAACCATTTAGAGCGGTTTGTCAGCGATTCAAGGGCGTTTTTAATTGCAGAAAAACTCTTTTTTTCTTTGCCTACACTATGGCCAATAAGAGCACTTGATTTGCATTGAATTTTCATTTTCCATTTTGGCGGCTGATTGCAAGTTCGCCGCCGAATCACTGACTCAGCTGACCTTCAACTCAAAGTTCAAGCGGCAAGTTCATGTGACGTCACGGTCGCAGGTGGGTTAAAATCACTTTTGATAGTGATTCTCATTCTGATTCGGAGTCTTCGGCGAACGAGGGAAAACCCGAAGAGAACTGAGAACTAAGAACTGCGAACTGAAAACTGAAAACTGAGAACTGAGAAGTCAGAACCCAGAACGAGAACCAGTTTTTTGGCCATAAGCGGCTATTACCGCCCCGCGTTTCTCGCTTAGCCGACTTTGCCGACTTTTGCGACTTGGCTACTTGGCGACCATATCGATGGATATTGTGATCGCGATCGTGAGTCGGACTAGTCAGTTGCAAACGGAGCGCCAGACGAGGCGGTTCACTGAAAGCCACTTAGCATTATTTTGTTAGATCAAGCGCGAACCTAGAAACAACATATCTTTTTGTTTTTTATTTTTTATTTTTTCTATTCCTTGTTGTTGGAGTTCGCGAGTTTTTCACTTTGGAGAAATGACAATCTATGGACTGTTGGTGCAGATCATAATCGTTTGTAACTAGCTGCCCGAAGAGTCCGACATTCGAGGAGCAGCAGCAGCAGCAGCAGCAGCAGCACTATGGCACCGCCCCAAGAGCAGCCAGAGGATGATATTATCACCAAGGTGAGGATGGATGTACATTGCATACATATGAGGAATATGAGGGCACAGTGGAGGATCCAGGATTCAGCTGTGGAAGGGGTTTTTTAAAAACACATTTTTTGCACTCTTTACCAGACTCATGGTTTCGTAAATGTATAAATGGGAACTTTAATTTACAATAAGAATTAAATAATATTAGGAATCAGTTTACTAAAACAAGCAACAAGTAAAGCTTTTGATTATTAGTGGATCTTAATTTAATAATAATTGCAATTGCAAGATAAACTTTTTAACCAAGTGGGGAGTTTTTAACACCCTATATTTCTTATTCTTAGTTTGTAGTCAAATAATACTTATTAAATAAACTAATACCAGAAATGGATTCCCAAATAAATCCCTATATTATTTTAAGATTTATCTGCTTATTGGTATTAAGTACAAAGCTCATAAAAAACCTTCTTAACTTTTTTTAGAGTATTTGAGCCTTTAGTTGAACTCCATTTTTGGAGTGAGAAAAACCCACAATGGTTCTTAGAATTCAGGTGATAAGCGAGACTGTTTACAAAAGCTTTGCTTTAATAATGCTATGTAAATTATACTTCCTAGGGTGTTATTCTAAACTGTGAGGGATTGATATTGTGGGAATATAAAAAATAATATGAATAAATTTCAAATAGTGAGTTTGGTATTTGTAACTAATATAAACAAATCGCCTAAACTGAAGCGACTTTTAGCACAAGCTTAAGCGATCATCTATTTAGTTATCTAAATAATAATAGCTAGAGCTTTTCTATATGCAAAAATAAATTAAATTAAAATAAAGTCAATCTCCACTCATCTGGTGCTTATAGTTATATTATATTTTAGCGCAAATTCGCTAATAGCCACATGCAGATCATCCAAATGATGAAGTTAGCATTGATCTGTGCGATCGCTAATTTGCCGAGAGGCAGCTACCAAAACTGAGCTTGTGGGGCACGGTCAAGGCTCAATATTTCATTCGAATAAAAAGAGAATAGATGATTGAGAAATCAATTATGCTGGCGCGGAAGTAGAATGTGTTACAAACCAGTTGGCAAAGGGCTTTGGACTCGTTTTTTTGTTTGATATTTGTTATACTCCGGTTACAACATTGCCAGTCGTTTGCTAATTGATCAGACCTCAATAATTATAAATCCAAATACGAGTGAGTATGTATCAGCTAATGTGAGTAAACTGCGAACTGCGTTTGGTGAATCAAAGGTTAGTCAAGGTGAGTTCACCTCTCACTCCCTGAATTGAACCTTGAGATGAACTTTTGAACTACAATTTAGCTTTGGAAAGGTTGACCACCCAGTCCAATACCTATAAAGATATCAAAACACTTGTTCCAAATCTATACGCAATAAGAATATTTTTGAGCCTTATTTTTGACACTAATATAATTTGATTAAAATGATTATTTTATCATATATTTACTAATAAAAAAAGTGTGCTTCTAATTAGGTTTCCTTGGCAGCATCCGTTAAACTAAATTAGAATTTTTTATTTTGTCAATTAGCTTAATTAGCGATCAGTAAATGAAGGTTGAACTGATCTTTGAATAAAGCCCCACCAGAAAACAAAATGATAATAAACAATTTAAGAGTCCAGCATCATGTGCATATTTTTTAGGGGCTTTATTTCTTGAGGTTAATTAAGGGTCTGCTGATTTCAGATTGTGTCAGCGATCTAATAAAGTATACAGTTTATCCAAGATCTTTCACTTTCCTTCTGCCAAATTGGTCCACCAATTCTGGCCAAAAAACACCTGGCTAGATGTTGCAATACGCTGTACACTGAAAAAATAACATCGCCTAGGACTGGAACCAACAATTTTTCAAATTGGGTGATTTCATATGTTTAATTGATTTACAAACGCTATACGTTTATATTTTTGTGCTTGCAACACGATTTTATTTTTGGGCGGGAAAATGTTTATTATTTGGGAATTAATAATTTGAATTTATACAGTACACAAAGCTAATTTTTTTCCACAAAGTGTTTTAAAGTTAGACATATTGAAAAACAATTTAAAATCTATATATTTTATTGTATAAAAATTAGCAAAATTGGAAATGAAACAGTTAACTTATTTCATTCTTCTTCATTCATCTTAAAATGTTAACTGTTGAATAACGAATTTTGGTCTCGAAATAACTCATTTTACCGATACTTAAAACATATGAAATATTTAGCTGAAAGGGGCAAAAAAATATTTATGTTCACCATTATGTAAATATAATTATTCTGAAACCTAGAAGTTTTTTGAAAATACGTTTATATAAAATATATAAAATTTGTTCTCGGTGCATAACCTAAACGGTCTGTGCAGGCCCACGAAATTAATGCTGGCCATATGCAGAAGGGGACATTGAAATATGGGCCTGAGGCAACCGCCTCCTGCCATGTATCGTTAATAATAAACAATTGTTTTTTGCGGCCAAGAGGTACAGATATACAGAGCTTGTTGTTATGGCGACTGTTGCCCAGTTAAGTGTATCTGTATCTGTATCTGCATCTGCAGCTAAGGAATATGATGAGAGTCGATTTCTAGCCAGCTTTTTAACTCCACTTCGAGCACAAGTATCTTGCCTTTTGCGCTCCAGTATCTTAATTGTTACTGTGCTCAGTGTTGCAGAACGGCGATTTAGAGGGGCAAAGCAGCAAAAACGGCAAGTCAGAGATTTAAAACAAGAAACAGAGTGATGATTGTTAAATTTTAGAATTTTAAAATATCTATATAAATAAAGGTGATAGATCTGGCAATAAAAAACAGGTAGGAGAACAAAAGCATCTAACAGAACTTCCGCATACTTCTTGTTGAATTTTTAATTCGTACAACAATAAACTTGCACACTCATCGGACCAAAATAAATTAATATGTATTGAAGTTACAAGAGGAAGCCAAACGAGAAGCTCTTAACGCCCAATTTGGCTTGAATCCAACGATCCACCGATCGTGACGTGTTCGCCAACAACCGAAACAAGTGGTTGTTGTTTGTTGTTGTCGGCGGTTGTTGCTTGCTTGTGGCTCTTTGTCGGTTGTTTCGAATGCCATTGGAGGTCAAGTTCAGGGAACACCAGTTTATGGATATTTTTTGCCATCTTCTGCTTTGCCGCAGTTTCACGTTTAAGATTGCAGGCGGAGGTGTCAAAGTATTGCTTGCCCAAGTGTTTAGATACTTTAACAATAGCCCCTAATGCCAATTGGTTGATTTCGATTGGCAGTCAGGAAATGAAATAGAATTCTGTTTCAAACTAAATTTATTTTTTTTTAAGTGCAGATAATTGATAACAAAGATTTAATTCCCTTTCTTATTTGAGTTAAAATTGGGGAAATTTAAATAATATTATAGTGAATAAGTTAAGATGTTACGGATCCTAAAATGTCCTTCAAAAAAAAAAAGATTGCTTTTAATAACCACCATTTTAGAATAATGTTTAAATTTTGGAACATAATCACTGTTTTATTTAAGGATAAACCATTATTTTTTTTATTTTTTAAACTGTGACTAGCGACTTAAATGTAATATTATTTTGTGGCAATATGTTGTAAAAAAATCCAAACACAAAACAATACCATTTGTTTTAAAATCAAACCAAACTTTGTTAAACATATTTTAAACCTCTCTCAAGCACATTTATTTATTTTATTAATTGTTGAATTAAAAACGAACATGAGTAGGCACGTATTGAGAATCTTAATCATTCGTATATAATTCGTAATTAAATTAAAGCTACCGGTATGGTAAGTTCGGTGAACTAGAGGTCTTGCACTTTAATTATATTAATTATAATTTAACACGACAATTAACTTAGACGGTCTAAATTGGACAGTTAAGCTTTTTATTAACATTGGCTCTATGATTTTGCCGACTTGTCGTGCTTAAATAAAATTTAGACAACAAGGCCAAAGCAGATTGGTCAAAGAAAAGTTAAAGACGTTTTAATAAAACATTATAAATGTGGAAATCTATCTATCTATCTATCTATCTATCTATCTATCTATCTATCTATCTATCTATCTATCTATCTATCTATCTATCTATCTATCTATCTATCTATCTATCTATCTATCTATCTATCTATCTATCTATCTATCTATCTATCTAATTGAAAATTAATAAATTAATTGTATTTTTGCTTGTTGTATTTAACTGATTTATTAATACTTTTCAATCTTAATTTTTAGCTCTATTGTTACTTTAATCATTATGAATTTTTTTTCTATTTTTGAATGTAATATTAACAATAATTCACATTTTTAAGGCAATGTACAAAATGCTAATTTTAAACGGTTAAAATAGTTTTTTTAACAAACAATTTCATTAAGCTGTAAAGTATTGTAATTGTTGTATTGTATTGTATTGTTTGTAATTTCAAACTTTACCATCTTTTGAAAAAAAAAATCATGATGGGCTTAAAACAAAACATCGTTATTTTTATAAAATCCTTATATCTCTTTCTCCTTGCATAATTTAATTGTCAATTTCGTTTGTAAATAATTAAGAAACCACTTAATTGGAGTTAATGATAATAAATATATTGCTGCTCATATAATGGCTATAGGTATTTCGATTATGAACAAACTTATTTAAAAAAAAAAGCCAAATACAATATCTGTACATACAAAGCCATATACGCGTGTACAAAAATCAACATATATTTCATTAGTAAATTTAACTCTGGTTTCATGCGGTTTGAACATAATATTCTAGCTACAGAAAAAAAGGTACAAATTCTAAATTGCTTAGGGATACAGTCGAATATATACTTGATATAGGTACTATGCTAGTAATATATATTAAAGTTTAAATGGTTGCAAAATTTGTATTCATATTAGACATACCTGTAATAAATAAGATTCCCATGCGGTACAGTATATAAATACAAATTGTTGTCCCATCCTCATTTGTATCTACTTAATATTTCATGAGCAATTTTCATTAGTTGGGGGCATTGTGTTTGCTCTTTTTGTCGCTTGTTTGTAATTTAAAAAAGGTGATACATATTTTTTGGACCTTGAAGGTCGTCAGTGGGCGATATAAATTTATTTGATTTATGGTAATTAGCCGTGTGTACCTTGCCTAATTGCAGATACCCTCGATAATTGGATTCCTGAACTTGGACTGACTGCCGGCGAATGATGCTTTGGCCACCCTGCACCCATCACAAAATTCGATGATCTGACCTAGAGAGCCAAGGCTGAAGCGCTGAATCATGAGAATTATAGCTAGAAATCGTTGTCATAGTTTTACGATTAAGAAGTGGAGCAAGACAAGCACAAATAAACGAGCAAAATGAATTAGTTTTTTGTTATTTGAAAACTGCCTGAAAGTCGGCAATGGACTTTAATTCAACTTGGGAATAAATTGTTTAAAATTGTTTTTGGTTTTGGATTCTGGATGTATTCATCACCTTGTTAAAATGTATTAAGCTCGCGTTTGGCTTTGGAATAAAATGTAATTAAATCTCATATAAATTAAAATATTACAATCAAAAACATCTTTAATTGATGGGAATAAATTTGCCTCCCATTTTTTAAATTGTTTTACTGTAAAATATATTCAACATTATTTTAGATATGGACAAAACAAATGTGACAAATATGGTAGTGAACATAAAACAAAAAAAAAAAGAATATATAGTATGCAAAATAATAAATACCTTATAGTATGGACCTGAAAATTGAATTACTTTAAATAGTAGTTGTATATTGAATTGAATTTCCTCAAAACGTACTGCTTAACATACGTACGTACAATTGAAATTGCCCTTTAAAATTTAGTGGAATATTATTCCAAATCGATCGAATAAATTCGCTATGAAATCCAAATGCAAGCTTAGATAGAAAACCCAAATGGAATTTTACTTCTTTTGAAAAGTACTTTCAGAAAATAAAGTCAAAACTGTACACTGATAAAAAAAATGGAAAATTCAAATATTTTGTACCAATTTAAACATTTTACGCTTAGATTTTCATCCATGGCGGTTTTTACTAATTTTAAATACGTAAATAGTAAAATTTTTTAAATTTATCTTTGGCAAAAAATAAAAAAGTAACTTGATATTTAACTTGAATAAAATGCATTTAAATCTAATATTAATTGAAATATTTGAAAACTAAATCGTGCAACTTAACATGCATTGCATTTAATATTATATTTTGATATTTTATTTAAATATTATGTATAAATTTGGAATTTAATAGTCAGTTCTCTAATTATCAGTGTAGTAACAATCAAAACCAATCCAACCCCTCATTAGGGTGACAACACTGTGCAAACGGATGACAGACAGGTGACAGGATTGGAATTTGGCTGGGAAGGAGCTACTGAGTCTCGGGGAGAAAAGGGGAAAAAAGCAAAGTATGTAATAATGACGGCACGCACAAAAAAATATGTAAAGCCGAGCGACGATTTGATCTATGAACTGGTTACAATCCTAGGCCGGCAATCGAGAAGCAGTAATCAGTGCAGCTATCCACTGGAGTTATCCGACTGAAACCAGGACAAAATCGAGGAAGACAACGCCAAGGACGCCAAGGACGCCAAGAACGCAGGACGCAAGGCGTGAGAGTTGGAAGCTGTATTCGAGGAACTCTTCCCGGAGGCAGAAGAAATGTATTCGGCGGTGAAGCCACTGTCCAAGTATCTCCAATTCAAGTCGATCCGCATCTACGACGCCGTATTCACCGTTCACTCCAAGTGCACGGTGGTGATCCTGCTCACCTGCTCGCTGCTCCTCTCCGCCCGCCAATATTTCGGGGATCCGATTCAGTGCATCAGCGAGGAGAAGAACATCGAGTACATACAGTCCTACTGTTGGACCATGGGCACATACATTCTTAAGTTGCACAACCATGGGGAGCAGCCAATGCCCGTTCATCCGGATGAGGAGGCTAGCTCCTCCTCCTCCGACTCCTCCTCCTCCAGCTCCTCGAGCTCCTCCAGCTCAACCATCAGCCAGACATCTGCTAAATCCCGTTCTAGATACCGATCTCGATCGAGCCTCCGCCGATTGGGGGACTACAACGAGGCCTATGCCAGGGCCATGTCGATAGCGGAGGGCGTGGGTCCCGAGATCCGCGGCCAGTCGGAGCGGGAGTACCTGCGCTACTACCAGTGGGTCATCATCCTCCTCCTGTTCCAGTCCTTCGTCTTCTACTTCCCCTCGTGCCTGTGGAAAGTGTGGGAGGGCCGGCGCCTGAAGCAGCTCTGCTCGGAGGTCGGCGAGGCCCTGCTCTCGGAGGAGACCTACAACACGCGGCTGCGACTGCTGGTCAAGTACTTCACCACCGACTACGAGGACATGCACTTCTGCTACATGGCCAAGTACGTCTTCTGCGAGGTCCTCAATTTCCTCATCAGTGTGAGTAGGATTCACTGACCTCTTAATTCGCAGGCACAAAATACACTATCACTATCACAATCACTATCACTACCAGGGAAACCCCTGAGAGATTCTTTCATTACACTCGTCAAAATGATTGCTAATGGGATATTATCACTTATAAGATGACTCTTTTTTCCATATTTAAAATATTTAATTTTTTTTTCAAAAATGATAACGATGTCAGATACATTTTCTAAAAAATTGTTTTTACTCTCTATTACCGAACTTTGACAAAAATCAAAAATCAGAATCAAGTTGGCCCCAATAAAAGCTATAGTGCGCCCTGTCTACTTCATCCTAAGACAGATTCTTAATATAAATAAAAATTTAAGGGTCCTGACGTGGCCTGACTTTTAAATATACATATATTAAGCCAAAATATATTATATATATATATTAAGCCAAAATACAATTTTTTTTATGTTTATTTTTTTTGGCTACCGTTCGAAAAAATATAAAAATAAATTGCCACGTAAGGGCCCTTTAAATGTTATTACTTTTATAGCAACCACATTTAGAAAAAAAATTGTAAACCAAGAAATTATGGACAACATTTTCTTTAATTAATAACTAAGCTATCCATGGACTTAAAAAGACTACATTATGGTCAGGTATGTCATTGTTAAGTCTATAATTTCTTGACTTTCAAGCTATTTTCTGGGCCCCATAGGTAGTGCAGTAAGAGCATTTTCAGTAGCTGAAAATTCGGAAAAATCGGGTTAAAAGAGGTTTGCAGTTTATGCTTCGAGATACTGATAATATAATGGAATAGTAAAAATAAATGTTTTACTATTGAACTCAACATATTGTATTTAATATAAAAATCAAATAACGAATCATAATTTTAAATACATTGCATATTAAGTTTAATGATTTAATATTAAAACATGCTAATTAATGTGAACAAAATAGATTTAAAATAGTTTTTATTTCACTTAAATAGATTTTACGGCAGTTTAATATGGTTCAATTTTAATTTAAATTTTCAGATATTAAAAACGATTTCTAAAAAAGTCCAAAGAAAAATATCAATATTAAAACTTTTTAAATATACAAGTTAAAAACGCAATGAATGTCAATCAAAGTGAAACATATTAAAATGAATTACAAAATAGTTAGATTTAATAATAAATAAATAACATTTTTTTTTAATCGCTTATGGAAGTATAAAGAACAATCTTGAGGGGTTACAATTTTACTATTTGATTTCCACTAGCTACTACAATGCAACTATGATGGAAAAAGGCAAAGATTTATAAAATCAATGAAGCAATTATAAAGAAATGCATTCAATTTTGAACCAGTTAATATTATTATTAGTTATCTATGATTTTTCCACCCCATTTTATCAGATAATTTGATCGATCGCCAACCCACAGGTGGTGAACATAATCGTCCTGGAGGTGTTCCTGAACGGGTTCTGGTCGAAGTACCTGCACGCATTGGCCACCATTCCGTTCTTCGACTGGGACCGATGGAACCGGGTGTCCTCGAGCGTCTTCCCCAAGATCGCCAAGTGCGAGGTACTGAAGTTCGGGGTCAGTGGGACGGCGAACATCATGGACAACCTGTGCATCCTGCCGCTAAACATCCTCAACGAGAAGATCTTCGTGTTCTTGTGGGCCTGGTTCCTGCTGATGGCCCTGATGTCCGGCCTGAATCTCCTCTGCCGGCTGGCCATGATCTGCAGCAGGAAACTGCGGGAGCAGATGATCCGCAGTCAGCTGCGATTCATGACCAAGCGGCATGTGCAGCGCGCCCTGCGCGACCTCACCATTGGCGACTGGTTCCTCCTCATGAAGGTCAGCGTCAATGTCAACCCCATGCTCTTCCGGGATCTCATGCAGGATCTCTGCGAGCTCCGCACCTCCTCCACATCGATCAGCCTCGAGGAGAGCCCCGTCTAGGACTCGATCGGGATCGGGATCGGGATTAGCATCAGGATCAGCAGAGCAGAGATCGTCTCGTCCTCCGGCTGGCCAAGTGGATGAACCACTCCCAATTGACGTTGCCGTCGTTCGTTTTATCGTGTATTTTTGCTTACGTACATATGGATATTAAATATATTTCCCTCCGTCTCCCTTTGAAATTATTGTATGATCATGAAGCTCAATTAAGCCCAATGGTCGATGATCCATTTTTAGCATCATGATTTATAGGTTTCCCATCAGTTTTAAGCAATCGAAAGAAAATTGAAAAAGACAGATTGTGTGCGGAATTTTAGGTTCTTCTTCGATGTCACTAGTTTAAACAGTTTTAAAATGTTTCCAAACCACCAAACAAATGTTTGAAATGTTTCGAGAATTCTGAGATATAATATTTGCAAAAAACAAGTATTTTTGAAGTCGTCAAATTTCCAACACTATATTTGAGAGAAAATACAATAGTAGAACCTTCTTTTAGTGATTTATTTTATTTATGTTATTGCAAAAATGAGTTTCTTCGTTTATCTTTTTTACGTGTGATGTACGATTTAGCTTAGAAAAAGGTGGCCCAAATCTTTTTTTCTGAGACCCATAATCTGACTAATGGGGTTGTGATTTCAAAACATATGCCTATAACTTCAATTCTGAAGCTCTTCAATTTACCTACGAGTTCCAATGCCAAAGGGGCGTAATTCTTAAATGTTACAATTTTTTTTTATTCAATTATTTATAATTTAAAAATCAGTGTTTAATCAATTTAATGTCTGCTATGGAGAACTTCCTATGGGAAGTTATCGGCGCCCGATTTCGAAAATATCTTATATATATATTAAAATGTATGGTTTAATTCAATAATCTGTTTGTTGTTTATATGGAGATAGGTTCTTGTCTATTGAAATTAAAATATTTCTTGACCTCGTGGTAAGCTGAATATAGGTTTAAAACGGCAAAATGTTGAAAACCTCTTATTATAAGCTTACCCGAAGGACGAGAAAACGGGCCTGAGCATTATAAGAAATAGAAACTAACAACAAAATAGTAGGGTTTCAACCGAGAAAATTGAATTTTAAAGTTAAAACCTTCTATTAGCAGAGCGTGCGGATGTTAAAACTGGCCTTAATCATACCATTTTCAATGTACTAAGCCTTGTTTATCCGATTACAAGGCTTTTGTTTATGATTTTCTGTCGCTCTTTAGTTGTTTCCAAAGACGACATACGAAATGAGTTGAGTTGCTGCTTCTGCTTCTACTTTTGTTGTCTTTGCCGCTGGCATTTAATGTGCATTGTTTATAACTAGTTGCTGCCATAATTTCGTCATTTGTATTTTGCTGGGACGATCCGCATGCCCCCAGATCCCCCAGATTCCCTCGATCGTCGGGTTTTCAGCATTGTTTTGCGCACATTAACAACGCAACTCGCTCGCGTTTTGGCCGCCTTCGCCACGCAACTCACTCACTAACTACACTCACACTCGCACTCACACTCACACTCAGACTCACTTGGGTGAATGAATGTAAATATTATTCAAAAGCCATTCGTGTGGCGTTTAACATGCCCAGCACTCACGTGGGGCATATCAGTTGGAGACCCCACTCCCAGTGACTCACCCAAACGGGCGCTGGTAAAAAAGTTCCCCAGAACGATTAATAAATTTATGAACTAATGCCGAGCGAAAGCCGTTGCATTACTAAATATGACGTCTTCAAATCAATCTGCAGAGGGCCTCATTTTCATATCATTTTTATAAGATTTTCTATCAGTCAAACTGATTAAAACAGTGTGTGTATGCACTTGATTTTTTCTACAAAAAAAAAGCCATGAATATTTAAAATCCATCGAAAATAGTAGATCCCTATTATCAAAAACTATTATATTAAATATCTTTAAATCAGAAAACAGTCATTTTATTATTCATAATAGTTTACAAATAAATAATATATGAAAATATAATAAAACCATTTCTTAGCTTCTTCCCGAAAGTGAATCAGAAATATATGCAATTTGTTTTTGACTCAACACTGTTAAAAACGGGGAAGACCAATATGCTAAATTCTATTATTGGGAATATAAGTATTATTTATAGATATAATAGATATATATATATATGGGATAGGATGAGCCTTTAAATTACTATTCCTAAATCGTAGGTGATCTTTACAATTTCATAGGTTATTTAGTATTTTTGATGTGATAATGAAGCCTGTGGTTTTGAGAAACTTTATTTTGCTTACTGGGGAACAAGAATTACTATTGTCCTTATTTAAATTAAATGTAAGAGTAATTTCTATAGGTCAAAAGACTAATAAGAAGAATAAGAATAATTTTTTTTTTTTTAATTATTATACAATTTTAATGTTATTTTGTTTTCTTTTTTTGGTTTTGGTTTTGAAGACTGTGGTTATGAGAAAACTAATTTTGCTTACTGGGGAAAAATAATGACGTTTGTAGGGTTGTTACTATGAGGGGTATCACTCTGTCCACATTAAAGCTCATTCTTCAGCCCATGATTCTCCATATATTTAAGTACTTTTTTAATTTAGTTTTAAAGTTATTTTTAGTGGTAAAAGTACCTTATATAATCAATGCTAATTTTTTAGTTAATTTTTGTTTAAATACATTGAATAGGATAAGCCTTTTAGATTATAATTCCTAAGTCTTAGGTGATTTGTACAAATTTAAAGTTTATTTTGTTTTTTGAGTGTGTTTATGGAGAAAAATAATTTTGCTTACTTGGTAAGAAGAATGATTATAATAAAGTTGTAAGTATAAAGGGTATCACTCTGCCGATATACCTGCGCCCTATTCCACCGCCTGAATCTACGGATTTTGGGGTCTCTCCCTTTCCGTTTGACGTTTGCGTGGGCCGCAGTCGACGTCGCTGCTGACGTCGACTGAGGCAGCGGCAGAGGCAGCAGCAGCGGCAGAGGTGCGGCCGGTGTTTCTTCAGCTTTCAGTTACATCTATTTCCATATCTATCGCACCCGTATTCCTATTCCCATTCGGTATTGTTTTGCTTTGGTTTTTCGGTTTTTGGTTTTTCGGTTTTTGGTTTTTGGTTTCTGATTTTTTGTTTATTTCCAGTTGCCGTGCTTTTTTTTTTGTGTGCCACTTGGCCAGTTAGTCGCTTCGCTTTGTATTTTAGCATTTGTAGTATTTTAGTCGCCCGTCAACCGCCGTCCCTTACGCTCCACTTTGGTCCGCTCCTCGGTTACGTTCATTTTTTTGTTGATTTTGCTGTGATGTGCACTTAATTAAAGCGCGTACGTGACGACAATTGCAGCTGCAATTTCTATCGCTGTTGCTGTTGCTGCTGCTGTTGCTGCTGCAATTTCTGGCCCTGTTGCTGTTGCATCTTCAGCGGCAATATCAATAGTGTTGCTGGTTATCAGGCGGCAATTGCAGTTGCAGTTGGCCAGTGAGTAATGCACTCGTAATTGGGCCTGCAGAGATACAAAACTCACACACACTTGCGGACAAAATATTAGGTGTCTACCCATTTTGTTTTTTGATTTATACAACAATTATTTTTGGTGCAAATATTAACAGACAATTGTGAAATCGATAAAATGCAAGAGTTTATTGGTGATAATGGAACTTTTATTTTGTTCAAATTTAATATGGTTAAAGCATAAAAAATTGATTGTTAATACAACTTTAACAATAAAACACATACATATATAAGGAAAAATATTTTTAGTATACTAAACTATAGTTGCTTTGTGGATAACTTAATTCAGAAACTGCAGCCCATTTTTTCTGTTTTTATTTTATTGTTGTGACATTTGGAGATTAGAAAAAACTTATCGTGTACTTGTGAAAATAAAAAAGCTTATAGATAAACATATGCATGTTGAACTTATACCTTAGCTAAATGTTGCGACTCAATTTAATTAGGAAATTGTATCGACAATTTCTTAATTGCTTTGAAATCAGTGCTTCGCAACCGAAAAACTACATAGGCAATTGCATTATTACCACAACTATTATTTTGACTGCAGCTGTGCGTGTGTATGGCACACACACCTCACACACACACACTCACACACTTAAATGTGTGATAAGAGGGCTATGAAAACAAGCATGGCAATAAAAACAACAACACAACGGTGGGCATTGATAAACACCGCGCGACAAGTGTGTAAAGTAAAACATTTAAGCGCACAGTGGAATTGCATCATCTGCGCGGAGCTTACTTATTTTATTTCGACTGGCTATTTTCGGTGAAAGTCGTGATTGATAAGCCCTCTGTCGCCCATTTATTTTTCGCTTCGCTTTTTTTCTTCTCCAATTTGTGTCACTATTGTTCTCCATCTGGCATCTGGTTTCGGGTTTTCAATATATTCACATACATATACCGCACATTGTTGTTTCTCGATTTGCATGCGGACTAGGCGAAGAAAGCTCTCGATGGCAAAGGAGGGGTAAATAAATATAAAAGTCCCCTCTCAACAGGGAAATACGCATAATGCGGCTACAGTGGTCGCTGGAAAAATCAATATCCCACTGTTAAATCAATTAGTTTCGAAAACATGTTTAATAAGTCAATAAATCAAATATGCTGTAAACATTAAAACAGACACTTTTATAGCTTTTTTTTAAACTGGTTCTGTGCCAAGTAGTAGACCTAAGATCGAGGGATACAATATTAATTTCCATAAATATGGAGAATAAGCTTATTGCCGCAGCTGTATGTACAAACCAGTTCAGAATTTATTTTATTGGAAATAGTACATTGTTAGTTTTTTAACTATTAAATTATTTTTTTTTTAGAAATTCAGTGCAAGGTCTAAACAGATTTTTGGTAATAAGTTCTTAATAAATTTTTGCATTTCTAATACGTTTTTTATGAAATCAAAAAGGAGGAGCTGGGTACTAAGTAACCTTGTGTTTGACTAATAACAGAATTGTTACAAATTTTTGTTTATGTCAGTAATTCTTTTGTTTTGTTTCGCGAAGCTATGACATTTAAGAGTTAAGTACAATAAAAATGAATAGTAAACGGATTTTATGTAACTCAAAAGTAGTTTTATTTTCTTAACTTATTTTTTTTGAAGCTTTGTTTTTAGGCGGACCTTTCTGTTGCTTATTTCGAGGTTTTGACGGCTCGAGGTCAAAAAAGAAAGAGTACGACATTCAAGAGTTTCAAGTGTAAGGACAAAATGT